GTGTGGATATACTTCTGGGGACTCTTTTCTGTTCCATTGATCTCTTTGTCTCTTTTTTTCCAGTACCATACTGTTTTGATTACTATAGCTTTGTCCTGTAGTTTGAATCTGAGATTGTGATGCCTTCAGCTTTATTTTTCCTCAAGACTGCTTTGGCTTGGGGGTCTTTTGTGGTGTCATATACATTTTAGGATTGTTTGTTCTATTTCTGTGAATAATGCCATTGGAATTTTAATAGGGATTACACTGAATTGCTTTAGGTGGCATGCGTATTTTAACAATAATAATTCTTCAAATACATGGAGATGGCATATCTTTCCATTTATTTCCATTTGTGTCTTCTTCAATTTCTTTCATTACTCTCAGTTTTACCTTATAGGCCTTTCACCTCTTTGGTTAAATTTATTCTTAAGTACTTTATTCTTTTTGATGCTATTGTAAATGTGATTGTTTCCTTAATTTCTCTTTCTAATGGTTCATTGTTAGTGTATAGAAGTACAACATGGGTGCCTGGGTAGCTCAGAGTGCGACTTCAGCTCAAGGCATGATCTCGTGGTTCATGAGTTTGAGCCCCACATCGGGCTCTGCATTCCACTAACAGTGCAAAACCTGCTTAGGATTCTCTGTATCCCTCTCTCTCTGCCCCTCCCCCACTCGCACTGTCTTTCTTAAAAATAAAGAAATGTAAGCTTAAGAAAAGAAGAAATGCAACAGGTTTTTGTGTGTTGATTTTGTATCCTGAAATTTTACTGAATTTATTTCTTAGTTCTAACAGTTCTTGGGTGGAGTCTTTAGAGTATTCTATAGGCAATATACTGTCATCTGCAAATAGGGACACTTTTACTTCTTCCTTCCTGATTTGGGTGCCTTTTATTTCTTTTTCTTGTTTAATTGCTGTGGCTAGGATTTCTAGTACTATGCTGAATAAGAATGGTGAGAGTGAGCATCCTTGTCTTGTTCCTAATCTTCATGAGCAAGATTTCAGCTTTTCATTGTTGAGTATGATGTTGGTCATGCCCTTTATTACACTGATGTACATTCCCTCCATACCCAGTTTGTTGAGAGTGTTTATCATAAATCGATGTTGAAATTTGTAAAATGCTTCTTCTGCATCCATTGAGATGACCATATGATTTTTTATCCCTCGTTTTATTACTGTGGGGTATTAACTGATTGATTTGTAGATGTTGAACTCTCCTTGCATCCCTCAAATAAATCCCACTTAATCGTGCTATATTATTCTTTTAATGTATTATTGAAAACAGTTTGCTAATGTTTTGTTGAGGATTTTTGCATCTGTGTTCATCACGGATACTGGCCTGTAATTTTCTTGTAGTGTCCTTGTCTGGATTTGATATCAGGGTAATATTGCCCTCATAAAGTGAGTTTACAAGTGTTCCCTCCTCTTTTATTTTTTGGAAGAGTTTAAAAAGGATTAGTATTAATTCTTCTTCAAATATTTGGTAGAAATCACCAGTGAAGACATCTGGTCCTGCCTAGACTTACTTGTCTTTATTGAGAGATTTTTTATTACTGATTCAATCTCCTCAGTAGAAACTGGTGTGTTCATATTTTCTATTTATGATTCAGTCTTGGTAGTTTGTATGTTTCTAATAATGTATTAATTTCTTCTAAATTGTCTAATTTGTTGGTGTGTATTTGTTTACAGTAGTCTCTTATAGATTTTTATTACTGTAGTATCACTTGTGAAGTCTTCTCTTTCATTTATGTTTTTTTTAATTTTTAAATTTTATTTTTGGAGAGAGAGAGAGAGAGAGAGAGAGCACATGAATGGGAGAGAGGGGCAAAGGGAGAGAAAGAGAGAGAATTCCAAGTGGGCTCCACACCCAATTTAGGGCTCAATCCCATGACCCCGAGATCATGACCTGAGCCAAAATCAAAAGTCAGACAGTCAACTGACTGAGCCCCCCAGGTGCCCCTATTTATAATTTAAGTCCTCTTTTTTTTTTCTTGTTTAATACAGCTAAAGGTTTGTCTGTTTTGTTTATCTTTAAAAAAAAAAAAAACAGCTCTTAATTTTATTGATCTTTTCTGTTGTCTATTTAGTGTCCGTTTCATTTATTTCTGCTCTCCTCTCATTTCTACCCTCTTGTTATTTTTACTTTCTACTACAACTGAGGTTAATTTGTTCTTTTTTCTTATTATTACTTGAGGTATAAAGTTGGGTTGTTTATTTGAGCTCTTGTTTTCTAATGTAGATGTTTATTACTATAATTTTCCCTCTTAGAACTGTTTTTGCTTCATCTTTTAAGTTTTGATATATTGTGTTTCCATTTTCATTTGTCTCAAGATATTGATATCTCTTTTGATCCCTTCTTTGGCTCATTGGTTGTTCGGTAACATGTTATTTAATCTCCACATTTGTGAATTTTCCATTTTTTTTTTCCTGTAATTGATTTCTAGTTTCATACCATCATTGGAAAAGATGCTTGGTATGATTTCAAGCCTCCTAAATTTGAGATATGTTTTATAGGCTAACATGTGATGTATCCTGGAGATGTTCCATGTGCACTTGAGAATAATGTGTATTCTGTTATTGGATGGAATGTTCTGGAAATGTCTGTTAAGTACATCTGGTGTAATATGTCATTTAAATCCAATATTTCCTTTTTGATTTTCTCTCTGGATTATCTATTCAGTGTTGAAAGTGTAGTATTGAAATCTTACACTTTTATTGTATTATTATCTATTCCCGCCCCCCCCCCCCCCCCCCCCATCAGATCTGTTCATATTTCCTTTATATGTTTAGGTGTTTTTATGTTGGGAGCATAAATATTTACAAATGTTATACCTTCTTGATGAGTTGATCCCCTTATTATTATATAATGACCTTCTTTGTTTCTTATTACAGTCTTAGATTTAAAGTCTATTTTGTCAGATATACATATAGCCCTGCTTTCTTTTGGTTTACATTTGCATGGAATATCTTTTTCCATCCCATCACTTTCATTCTATTTGTATGCTTAGTGCTGAAGTGAGTCTCTTGGAGGCAGCCTCTGGTTGGGTCTTATTTTATCCATTCAGCCACTCTGTGTCTTTTGGTTGGAGAATTTAGTCCATTTACATTTAAAATAATTATTGATAGGTGTAGACTTAATACTGCCATTTTATTAATCGATTTCTGGTTGTTTTGTAATTTCTTTGTTTCTTTCTCTTTTGCTCTCTTCCTTTGTGATTTGATGACTTTGAATTTTTACCGAAGAGTTTTTCTATTGTTTCTCTGCAAAGAATATGGTCATGTGAATAATATTTTATCATCTTTCTAAAAATGGTACCTCTGTTACTATTACATAAATATAATGCTGACTGTTGATCTGAAGTGATGAGGTTATCCTTGAATGCACAATTTATTAAGAGTTGATTTTGGGGGAGGGTGCCTGGCTGGTTAAGTCAATAGGGTGTGCAACTCTTGATCTCCGTGTTGTAAGTTTGAGCTCCACGTTGAGTGTAGACTACTTAAAAATCTAAAAAACTTTTTTAAAAAGCTGATTTTTTTAAAGCAGAAGTTGGAGTTACCTCCACATTTTATTTTATTGGTTACATGTAAAAAATTTTAAAGATTACAGGCAGTAAAGGGGAGAATTTTCTTAAGAAAAATATACTTGGAATTGTTTCCACAAATAAAAATTCAGATAAAAGATAACAGACCAACAAAAACTTAACAGAAAACTAAAGTGTATAATTTTTAATATCTTACATCTTGATTTCTTTTAGAAGCTAGTGCTTAATTCTTATTTTCTTTCCTAAAATATTATGGCAAAAAGTCAGTAGACTTTCTTTTCTTGTTTCTACTTTTTACACAAGGAATCTCCCCAAGATGACTTGTTCTCCACTTTGTCATCTACTCTGTCCAGATCTAGCACTGTTTTCATGTAAATCAAGGCCTTATTCCCCCTTACAGCATTTTTTTTCATTTTTGTGTTAGTAGACCTCAAAGACAGAAAATAACAATGCTTTTGAAATATTGTCTTATTATTCTTATTTCATCGTAACTTTGGACTTATTGTAGAAAATTAAGAGAATATAGGTAAGTGTTTAAAATAAGTCCCACTAGTCATGGGGTGGCTCAGTTGTTTGGGCATCCGACTCTTGATTTCACCTCAAGTCACTATTTCATGGTTTGTGAGTTCAAGCCCCATGTTGGGCCATGTGCTGACAGCATGGAGCCTGCTTGGGATTCTCTCTCTCCCTCTCTTTATGTCCCTCTGCCACTTGTGCGCGCTCTCTCTCTCTCTCTCTCTCTCAAAGTAAATAAATATTTAAAAAATAAAATAAATCCCATTAGTCAGAAGTAACCACTATTTAAATTTTTGTGATTATCTCTCCATTTTTTTTCTATGCATATATATATACATATATATGCACACAAAATATTTTAAACAAATGTAAAATCATACTATGCATGCTACTTAAATCATGTACATTTGCCTTGGTGTTAAATAATTATCTAGAACATAATTCATACATACTGTATACCATTGAGCAACTGTATCATAGTTTAACCATTCCCCTCTCTGTAGACATTTAAATTATTTCTAGTATTTTTAAGCAATGCTTTTTTAGATTAGCCTTTGAAAAATTTTAGATGACTAATTCTCCCTTTTCTGATTCATTTTCTAAAAGTGTTTTTCTGACAGATTCAAATATTAGAAGAGGAAGACCTTTAGAGTTAGACCTAAAATTGAATCCTGCTTCACCACACAGGTTTGAGGTTGTGTGACCTCAAACAGGAATATCTGATATAAGGTACCCTCACAGAGTAGTCTTCTCTTGATTCCTTTTTTTGTTTTGTTTTGTTTTCAAGTACTTTGCTCAAGTATTATGCTAGTCTTGAGGAACTTTGTAAAGGCATTTTAATGTTATTATTCCCTGGATAAGGCAAAGACAACTAATTTTTCATAATCAACTTTTGGCCACTAACGTTCATTTTCTACTTGTCAGTTTTAATGTGGGTTTTTTTCACTCTCTTTTTCTCCTAGAGATAAGATTTCAGTTTCCACAGCTGACTGGAGTGCTTACCCTTGCTTTCTTTATTCATAATTGTATTATCACACTCTTGAAGAACAACAAGAATCAAGAAAATAATGTGAGTAATTGTCAGAGGAATTACATTTTGTTATTGGATCTTAATTCTTAAATTTAAACCATAGAGCAGTGGTCTGAGCAAACTTTTTCTGTAAATGTTTTGATGGTAAATATGTTAGGCCTTATGGGCCATACAGTCTTTGTTACAACTACCTAACCCTGCTGCTATGTGATGAAAGTAACCACAAACAATATTTAAGCAAATGGATGGTGGCTGTGTTTCAAGAAAACTTTATTTACAAAAACAAACAGTGGGCCAGATTTCATCATGGACCATAGTTTGTCAACTCCTGCTGTAGAGTAATTACTAAAAAAATAAAGAGGCATAGCTAATAGCCAACAGTGGTGATAAAGTCTTTTTTATCTAAAATATCATGGAAAAAATGAAACAAAGAATAGGTGGGACAAATGGAAAACAAATAGCAAGATAATAGATTTAAACCCAGCCATGTTGGCAATAACTTTAAATATAAATGGTATAAATGCTGCAATGAACGGATAACAGACTGGGGATGCCTAGGTGGCTCAGTCACTTAAGCATCTAACCTTTGATTTCAGGTCAGGTCACGATCTCATGGTTCATGAGTTCGAGCTCCACATTGGGCTCTGTGCCGACAGTGCAGGCCCTGCTTGGGACTCTGTCTCTGCCTTTCTCTCTCGGTCTCTCAAAATAAGTAAAAACTTAAATATACATACATACATATATATGTGTGTGTGTGTGTGTGTGTGTGTGTGTGTGTGTGTGTGTGTGTGTGTGTGTATATTACACCAAACTGATTAATACAAGACCTAACTACAGTTGACCTTGAACAGGGGTTAAATAAAGAGTGCTGACAGCTACACCCTCCACCGCCATAGTCGTAAACTTGTATATAACTTTTCCCCAGAGCTTAATTGCTAATAGCCTACTGTTGACCAGAAACTTCATTGATAACATAGTTGATAAACACCTATTTTATATGTATTATGTATTTTATACTGTATTCTTATAATAAAGTAAGCTAGAGAAAGGAAAATGTTACTAAGAAAATCATAAGGAAGAGAAAATACATTTATATTACTGAACTGAAACTGTTGGAAAAAATCTACATATAAGTGGACGTATGTAGTTCAAACCCCTCTTCCATGGTCAACTGTATGTGTTGTCTGGAAGAAACTTAGTTTAAATATAAAGATATGCCATGCAGACACTAGACATAAAAAAGGCAGGGTAACTGTTTTAATATCAGACAAAGTCAACTTCAGAACAAGGAGTATTGCTGGAGATAAAGAGCAACATTACATAATGATCTTTAGGGATCAGTTCATCAAGAAAACATAGTAATCATAAACATGTATGTACCCAGTGACAGAGCCTCCAAATAAATGGAGCAACTGTCAAAACAGAAAGGAGAAGTAGACAAATCTGCAATTATAATTGGAGATTTCATTACCCCTCCCTTAATAATTGATAGAATAGAAAATAAATAAGAATATAAAAAGCCAAAACAGTATTAACCTACTTGATGTAATTAGCGTTTATAAAGGTCTTCTCTCAAGCAACAACTCAATGCACATTCATTTCAAATGTTCATAGAACTTGGGGCGCCTGGGTGGCGCAGTCGGTTAAGCGTCTGACTTCAGCCAGGTCACGATCTCACGGTCCGTGAGTTCTAGCCCCGCGTCAGGCTCTGGGCTGATGGCTCAGAGCCTGGAGCCTGTTTCCGATTCTGTGTCTCCCTCTCTCTCTGCCCCTCCCCCATTCATGCTCTGTCTCTCTCTGTCCCAAAAAATAAATAAACGTTGAAAAAAAAAAAAATGTTCATAGAACATACAACATAGACTATATGCTAGGAAATTGAATAAATCTCAATAAATTTAAAAGAATTGAAATCATACCAAGTAAGTTCTTTGACCACAGTGAAGTGAATTTAAAAATCACTAACAGAAAGAAATTTCGAAAATTGACTAAATACATGGAAATTAAATAACAGCTTCCTAAGTAAGCAATGAGTCAAAGAAGAAATCACAAGGAAAATTGGAAAATACTTTGAGATTACTGAAAATGAAGGTACAACATAGCAAAACTAATGGGATGCAGCCAAAGCAGTGCTTAAAGGGAAATTTATTGCTATAAATATCTACATTAAACAAGAAGAAAGATCTCAAATCAATAACCTAACCTCTACCTTACGATAGTGAAGAAGAGCGAACTGAACCCAAAGTAAGCAGAAGTTAAGGAGTTACTTGTGGCCTTGTCTGCAGATTTTGAACTCAGTTTGATGGCTTCTAACCATGTAAATGAAAACCATGGTGAAGCTCTATTAGAGGCCTATATAATTGTTACTGAAATAAAAAGGAAGAAGAGTTCACTGTGCCTGGGAATTCTGAAAAGACTTCAAGTAATGTTTGGCAGGGTCATTTTGAAGCAAAAATCCTAAGTAGAAGGAAGTTAGTTCTCAAATTAGAGCAAGAATATAAGTCAGGGTCTCCCATTTTCATGTTTACTATTAACTGGTAACACATCTGGCATATTGCCTGTAAATGGGATTGAGTAAATCTAGATTTTCCAAACTTTCTAATTTGGTGACCTTCAATTTTTTTTGATATGTAAAAATAGTATTATGTGATACCTGCCTCTCAGGGTTTTAATCACAATTAAACATTATAAAATAGGAAAAGTATTTAACATGCTGTGGTGTACAGTAGGAGCTAGAAATTTTTTGTTTCTGTGCCCCTCCTTTTTCTCCTGACATTACATACCGTGGATCTCTCAGCTAACAGGGGAAAGTATTTTCCCATTCAGAGTCTTTCCAGTACTTTAAAACTTGTTTTGTAATGAGAACATATTAATTCTTCCTATAATGTTAATAGGGTAGATCCCCAGAAAAATATATAATCGAACCATGTCAATTTGTTCTTTATCTATTCTCTCATCACTGAACTAGATTTTAATTTTAAAACTGACTTTTCACCAAGGGTTCATAGTAATACAAGAAAGTCATGTGTAGAATGTTGCTTCGTTGTTTAATAAGAACCATAATTGGGATATTCTTTATTAAATTGCTTACCATCTTTCATGCACGGGCTGTAGAGAATTATTTCTTTGTGTTCAAGACTAGGAAAAGTTTCTCCTAATGAACTCATTATTTGACAAGGATCATATAACTACTCTTGTGTCTGTTTTTGCCATGACTTCTGGAAAACTTAAGAATTATCATTTGGTATACCTTTTCTTAGACACAACTTACTTTTAGAGTTTTTATCTTTCCTCTCACATTAGATTTAGTTTTTATCTTGAAAATGTTTAGTCTCATTATACTTATACTTTTGTCATAAACAGTTTTAAATCTTCCAAGGGAATAGGAAAAATAATCTTATTTATCCTAAGCAAGTATTTGGAACTTTAGGATATAAGCGGAAATTGAATATATATTTTTAAAGTTCTCTACTTTTAAATCCCTTCCTTCTTCTTCACAAGTTCCCAGACTAATTGCCACTTGAACAAAGCTACCTACTCCAAGTTTTAGGAAGTTTATAAATATATGTGTAAAATATCTTCTTCAACTCTGCAGGAAATCTGTATATCTCATTAACAGTATGTTCCTTGGTGCTCACTAAGTCACGTATCTATACTAATCAACTCTTCTCACACCAACTTAGACTAAGTGCCCTAGAAACCCACTTGGTGAGGTGTAGAATTCTCATGTATTGGATCATTCTATCCATAAGGCTGTGCTTCTCAAACTTTACCACTAAAGTCTCCTAATGACAGAGAATACCTTGTATACCTGGGAATCTGTTGGTGAAGAACACAACTTCAACAAATTCTCATGTTTAATTTTAAGCATGCATGTACATTTTTATTGTACTCTAAATTATTTTGTCTTACTAGAAAAGTCTTAAAATCATGAGTTAAGTTATAAACAGACCTCACTTTACACACTTCCTATATGCATGACTTATAGTTACTTTGGTTTAGTTAAATTACCTCTGTCCCCCTAACAACATGGTTCAAATTCCAATTACCACAGGATTTGAACTATGAATACTTACATAAACTAGTAGCTACCTGCCTTTCAGTTCACAAATCACTACTGAAATAACAGGCATATGTCATGATTCATTACCATTCACATCACTTCTCTCAGAGTCTGTCAGAGATTGGTCACCACACATCTCTAATTCACTTTACACACAGACTGCCAAGCGGATGGTTGAGTTGCCCCCTTGTAACCTGGTCGTAAATCCAGATAATATTTTACAAAAATGGAAAATTGAGAGAGGGAATTGGCCAAAAAAGGTGAAAGTGCAATAATGAACACAAAGTGATAATACTGGAAATACAATTTGAATGAAACATAGATGGAGTCATAAAGGAAACATCCGCTTGTGGAAAGGTAGACACTGCTGCCAGTTGAGACCCTCCAGATGGGCAGTCAGAGGAACTTGGGGAAGATGAACCTCTCAACGTGAATGAAGGAAATGGTTGTGATGAGAAGAACGAAGTTGTTCCCGAGGAAGTGACACCAGCAGAAAACTTCACACTGAAAGAATTCTGAGATACTTCACAACTTTGAAAACACAAAGGATGAAATGGTGGAAAGCATTGCAACCTTAGAAGGAAGGAATATGACAATTCACTAAGGTGTGGAAAAGATGGTTGTTGTAGATTGTAATTATACTATGAGAAGGAGGAAACAGTTCAAACTGTCCTTGGTAAGTTTTTACAAATAAATAAAACACTTTAATTCTCATTGTTTCTGATGTTTTAAAATAGTATATTAAATAAATAGTACTTTTACTATCTTTTTCATTTCCTTTTACATTTGTAACCAACGGAGTTTTTAATGTTTTGACAAAAGTTGTTAAAGATCATGGAACAATCATAATTTTTTCATAGATTATTGTGATTGCAGTGCACTTTTTTTTTAACATCTGATAATTTATTTCTTTATTTTTTATGTTTTATTTTTATTTTTGAGAGAGAGAGTGAGAGGGCAAGTGAGCAAGAGGCAGAGA